TGGCCAACGCTTTATTAGGTACTATGATCGTATAAAAGTTTGGAAAATAAAATATATAGATATTTTTTTTTAAATTGTACAAACGATTATTATGCAAAAAAATACTACTTTTGTATAGTAATATGTATAGGTACATATTACATGTTTCATAATCATCACAAATTATAGCGGTTTACGAATTTCTACCTATGAACCAAATCAAACGGTAGTCCGTTTGATCCCAAACTAGGTACTACCATTCTTATATATTTAAACACAATAACAGATTTTTTTATTCAATAATAAATAAATTACAAAACAAATATAAATATATCAGGAATTAAAAGTACATATTAAGTGCATGCATGAATTAATAAAATATTACAATTGATGCAATTATTATTATATAACTGTCGTATTATTCATAGCGTCATTTTAAATAAGTTTCTAAATAAATAAATTTAATTTTCATTATTTTAAATAATTTTTCTAAATATTAAATGACTCATTTTTTTTTGTTTAGATCGATTCACATTATTCAATTTGGATCCCTCAACGGGTAAAGGCCTCCTCCATTTTGCTCCACGTCTGTCTGTGTTTTGCTTTTGTGAACCAGTTGTCACCGGCTTCAACCCGTTTTTCTTCCGGTCTACCTCTTTTTCTTTTGTTTGTTGGTCCTTGCCAGGTAGTTACTCTCAATGTCCATTTTTCCTTGACCATTCGCGCAATATGAACCATTTCCATTTTAGTTTTGAGAGTGTTCCAGAGCATCTATTATTTTTGTGGTTTCTCTTATTTCTGTATTTCTTTTTCTGTGTTTTCTTTGTGTGTTTAGTATATTTCGTTCCATCGCCCTCTGGCACACTTGTATTTTGTTTTTATTGTTATTATTGTATATCCACGTTTGGCAGCCATACGTAAGACACGGTAGTATACATGAGTCCATAATCTTTTTCTTTAGTTTCATGGAGAGTTTCGATTTTAGGGTTTCTTTATTGCTCCAGAATTTGTTCCAGGTTATGTTAATTCGTCTTTTTATCTCATCTTCGTGTCTGGTCTTAGAGAAGGATACTTGTTTTTCCAGGTAAATATAGCTTTGAACATATTTCAATGAATTGTTATTGACACTTATTGGTATAATGTGGTGGTTTGTCATGATTTTAGTCTTGGAAGCATTTAGTTCTAGGCCGATCGCACTGCTTACGTCGTACAGTAACAGATAAACAAAATAAATATTTATACTCCTCACACCATTGTTTTAGGTGAGAACCGAACCCGACCTATGGCTGTAAAGGCAGGATCACTGACCATTAGAAACCAGTATTAACAGCCATTGTTTCAAATTTTAATATTTCTACAATTTTTCTGTATTTAAACCTTAAGTATTCCTAATTTAGAGATCTTATGTAGGCGAAATTTTCTTTACAAAACGCGTGCAAAGCATTTTCTTAATGTATTAGTAATTAATTAGATTAAACTTTGATCGTTAACTGTACAGTAACTGTATTGACTGTACTGCCAACATGTGAAAAGCAAAAGGAGTAATTAAAGCTGCAAATCGGTGTAGTTGGCCAACTTCGCTTACTTGTTCGTTCCCTCGGGTATTTTGCATCCCTTTTAGATCTATGTATTAGCCGTCTTTATTTAATGCAAATATGATGATACGTATAATTCTCTTGTAATTGTTGACGTCACAACTGTCGTTTCAATACACCTAGTATGATTTCTTTTCATTAGAATACAATTGGATATAAATGCCATACATACGGATTTGCCATCAATAGGTTAAGGATTGCGACCGTAACCTCCAGCAGGGCAAGATCTTGCTATTTGTTAATAATCCCAGTTAATCCCTCCCACACGCCCACTACCGTAACTCCTGTACACCAAGAACAACAGCAGTGATCCACGAACACACCGAGTTATGACACTCGAGAAGTGTCAGGCAAAAATTAATGTTTGTCTTTTAACCCACAACGAAATTATTCAGAAGAAAGTTGGAGGAGTTGGAAATATAATAAATCCACTTCCCTCCTTAGCAAAGCGGAAGACAAAAAGAAATAAAATACTCATACACCCTTTTAAACAGGGAAGTACCACGGCCACAAAATATTATGGGTCCCAAGAGAGCTATTTGATTTCTATAATATGTATGAGAATCGCTAAAACGCACGGAAATTCACCCTAGTTGAGACAAGATCCGCATAGTTTACCGCCCTAGATGACACCTGTAAGCTATTTAACATTATATTACGTTGAGTTTTTGTTTAAGATCTGGCTATTGCTAGAAAAAATGTCTCTTTACAACCATTGCTCCACTTGTTTTCTACCTTTTCTTTAACAATTTTTCTTCGGGCAGGTTTATACGCCTGTGTTATAGTCGTTTATATGTGTATATACTATATATACGAGTATGTAGGTATTTGTATTTTTTTTTATAATACTTTGGACATGTAACACACAACGCAATCTAGTTTTAAACTAAGCAGAGCTTGCACTATGAAAGCCAAATTGACTGATAGAATACTTATATACTTTTTTGTTATAAATACATGTGTATACAAATTATAAATAGAGAAAAACTTCGAAACAAATATTTGCAGAGCATACAAATATTTGTGCCGACCCGGGAATCGAACCCGAGACCTCAGAACAGCAGTCGCATACGCTACCACTGCATCACCGAGGCAGTCACATCAAGAGCCTTTAATAGTTTTGGCCTACTATATCACGCTGGCTAGACGGGTTGGTATAGGGTTTGTTTCAAGTTTTCCTTCTCTTTGTAGTGCTGCTGTCCTGCGTAGTTGCTCCCTTAATCGGCTCTTACGACATCCACGGGATGCATAGGGTTGGTGACACTCCGTAATCTTAATCCATCACCACATGGCAGGCAGTAAGTAATAATAACTTACATAAATTTTACTTTTGTTAGTATTCAAATATTTGTGTTTCTTTTTATTTGAAAAATACACATATTGGGAAAGTTTTGAACGCGACCGAAAATATGAATAGGTTTTTACTAAAAACCTATTCATATTTTAAAAACTTTTTAGTTTTTATGTCCTACTAGCTGCCCTACTAGCTTCCGTCCTACTAGCTTCGCTCGCGTGGATTTCGGTGACCGTGATCCTTTTTGTTAATATTAAAAAGTGAGTTTTATCTACTTAGGATATTCTCTGTTAACTATACAAATTTTACATTACTTTTTTTTTAAAAGACAATTAGGAATATATCCTGTATCGCGGGGGACTTTACAAACATACGTAAAACGGGCACAAAGAACTCAGAACAATTTGTAGATCACACAAAGTGTCGTCCCATGTGGGGATCGGACCCACAACACTCAGCGTAGTAGTGAGAGGCGTGGCGACCGCTTAAACAATTACGCCATCCGTGCAGTCGTTATGCAGTCGTTGTGTAGTCGTACTCTTTAATGTACATATCTCAGTTGGTTTCGCAGCGTACGCGAGTAAAGCTGCCAGTAGGTAAGTGTTTTTGCGATCTCTTTTTTTATGTTAGAGGGGGCAGACGAGCAGACGGGTCACCTGATGGAAAGTTACTATCGCTGCCCATGAACGTCTGCAACTCAGGAGTCACAAACGCATTGCCGGCCTTTTAGGAAGGAGTACGCTCTTATCTTGAAGGTTTGAAGGTCGTAGTGGTCGGGTACATCGCTACGTAACGCCAAGGGATCGAGCCGACAATAATAATCGTTATATTTCAATCAATTTACATAACAATATAATTGATTATACACTTAAACCCTCCTCAGCATTCACAGTATCTATTAGTGAAAACGTACAGAAATCCGTTTGGTATTTTTTCAGTTTATTGCGTTCATACAGACAGACAGACGCGGCCAAGGGACTTCATTTTATAATATGTAAGGATTTATGATGTAGTAACTTTGATATACAGTCGTTTTATTTTAATATTTAGAAAGTAAAGTTTTCAGATTCTTAAAGACCACAATGGTATTCCGCTGCTTGCCTATGATAGGGGTGAGAACCTACTGTAAACCATGACGAGTAAAGTTACTGCTTGTGAATACTGTCTGCTGCCTCTTGAACTGGTCGTCGCCCGCAGGTCGCCCTCAATTGATAGTCTGAGTGATAGGTTGAAAAAATGTTTAACTTCTTTCTTCATCGCAGTTCTTGCCAAACTGTCCTCTTCTTATAAAACTTATATGTGAACTGCTTAAAAATATTTATTGAGTACTTCACATATTTACATTAACTTCGCCTCACAAAAAGCACATTTTTAAACTGTAAGTATGTGAAAGTGCGAATAAGTTTTTTTTATAAGGAAAAATATTGCACAAATATAAGTCATATACTTGATTTTTATTTAGAAAAATAAATGTTGTTAAAAATAAATTATAACAATTTAGCAAATCTCACACAGGGCCCGGCTGATCCCAAACTAGGCAGGCCTGTACTATGGTAACTAGACTGCTGATAAACATACTTTTATGTATAACGAAATACATTATATATTTTAGATAAATTACACCCATATATAGAACAAATGATCGTGCTCATAACGAAATCATAATTATATATGTCCTGGGAGGGAATGAAAAAATCTTTAAAATCTTAATATAATTAAGTTATAATAATATAATAATATTTTACGTCATTCACACAATGCCATCTAATCCCAAACTAAGCAGAGCTTGTACTATGGCTACTAGACAACTGATATAAATACATATATATTGTTCTTTTGTATATACATACATATTATCCATAAGTTAACATGTGAATATTTGTTTTTGAGTAAGTGAATCATTGTGAATTCTTATGAGTAAATAAAGATCTTAAACCACATTAAAAAATCTTAATCTTTATTATAAAAGTGTACTAATATAGTGAGTCAAAATTGTTACTAACATTTTTGAGTCAAGTTACTGTTCATAATTATTTTATTATTATCATTAATGGAACCCACGAACCGGGTTTAGCAGTCAGGCTCACTTATCACTAGACCGAAAGGCATTTTTGATGAATTTTCTCTTTCTATTATCCTTCTACATTAACTTCCATTTCACAAATGAAGGGTAGAAGATCACTGCACACATTCGTGGTTGTACTGAGGTAGTTGTTTTGTTGGACATATACCGCTCCACAATCAAATTTTTGTATGATATCTTCTGTTTGTATGATAACTCCTGTCTTTTCCCGATGATAGATATCATCCAAGTTCTGACCTATAACAAATAACAAAAAACGGCGTGAGGGGTCTATGAAGAAGTGTCGGGAAAAAGTCTTGTTCCACATTTGCTGGTCTTGCTCCCATCCGCTCAGAGAGTGTAACTCGCGATAAGGAACTTCTTTCCAATAACACAGGTATAACCATTGACACAGTAAATATATTCGGATTAGATTACATAATTTGTGTGTATTTGAAGAATTTACTGTTTGTAAAACATTTAAACTCACAAATATACGAATATTTAAATGTTAATAAGTAATTAGTCATTATTATTATTAATTATCATTTTATTCAGTATAAACAAATCTAGATAAAATTTACCGTCATCGTCCGTGAATTTTTGTGATGTACTCGTAGAGGTTATCGTTAATTGATACAACGTAGCAAAACATAGGCATCAAATTATTTAAAAGTACTTATGTGATCGCAGAAAAAAAATTGCTTCTATTAAGTATACTGAACAGACTGCAGTGAAAAAAAAACGTTTTATGATTTTTTCATACATATCATGGTAGTATTAACTTCAATTGACCGACATTAAAATCTCATTTTTTCCTCACACACGGCCGTCTGATTCCAGACTAGGCAGACCCTGTACTATGACAACCAGCTGCTCGTTGCTAAACAATCGTGCTCATTACGCTATTATTTATCCTAGGTGGGTGCCGAACCCACGGCCTCTGACTTAACAGTCAGGACACCACACTCACCACTAGACCAATAGGCCCATCATCTATAACAAGACCCAGACCAATAACACTTTACCTTTAAGAGAGTAGTGATCTCCACGAGACGAGAGCCGACGTACACCAACGTGATAAGTGGAATATACGTTTAAGAGATCATAGATAGCATTAGCCTCGGCCTCATTTTGAATAACCGTCAATAAACCTCCTTCCATAAGACAAGTAAGCATGGCGTCGTTCCAGGTTTTCATTCGTTTGTTGATCTTGTAACATTTTTTTAAGGATTTAATGTATTTATAGTCTGAAATTACAAAAGTGATAAATTACCATTTTATGTGAAAGTTTTACAATTATTCATTCATTTTATTTTCAGTAGTCCAATTTCAAAATTAGATTTTATATGGTTAGTTTCTTTTTATAATCATATGTAGATATGTTTTCAAAATATACATTTTCATAGCGATGATTGATATTGATCCACTGACCCATTTTTCCCAAACTAGGTTAAGGTCGGCTTTTAGGTCCTCTACGAGCTTTAATTTTTTACGAGACACGACTGTCATTAGACCTTCACAACCAAAGCAACCGGTACCGACTGCTTAACATGCTCTCCAACGCATGAGGCTCTATGAGGACCAAAGGCCAGAAATGCAAAAAAAATCTTATGATTTACCTTTGTCTATAGTAGGACATGATTCGTCGTGGACTTTTTTACAAACATAAGGCAATGGCATGTCTGGTTTAATATTGACACAAGCACCAACCGTGTACAGGCCAGTATCAATGTTCATTAGAATACAGTTACCGCGTTCATAATTTCCTGTCCTTAAGTCCTGAAAAAAAAACATACTTATTAATTCTTTTTATTGAAGAGCTGGAAAACAAACAGAATCGCTATCTATGATCGCCTGCAACTTCGGAATGCGCTCTATTTTTTAACGTTTGAAGGTCGTATCGGTCTATTTGTTCTATAGATTGGTTGTGCCAGGCAAAAAGTGTCTTGAAAAGCGTAAAGTGGTGGAGTGCCAATCATCCAAGTTATGAGGATAAAAAAATTGCCATGGGGAACAATGGCGGCAAGTTGGGACCGGAATTAGTCCGAAGAATGAGTAAAGAAGTGCTTTAGTAGTTTCTCGATTTGAACGCTGTCTAAGAGCTTATTTTTTAAAGGTAACTCTATACGTACGCAATATACTGTTACAGTTAGACAATCCTAATTATCTTTAAAATTCTAGAAGTTACGAGAAATCGCAGTAAATATCAGTATTCTGGATAACGAGCACTTGAGCCTGCTATTTAGGATATTTTGTTTCCTATTTGTATTTTATACTTTTGTGCGCTGTTATCACACAACTTACAGCTTCGGCGTATAAAAAAGAATTGCCTAAACAGTGCAGTTTAAAAAAAATAATGCTTACCGTCAACTGTGATAAATTCTCCTAAGCCGAAATCGTCATGTACTCCGACAAATAAATTGGTGACATTTGGAGGTTTTTCCATTCTGTTCGTCAAGTTCTTTACTAAAGTCCATTCATCTTTAATTTTGGGATAAAAAAGTATAGCTCCTTCATCATCACATGACAGGAAAGCTGAGTTCCACGATGATCCACGCAAATCCCAATGTAATTTATAGAACGCATCAAACTTTTCAAAATATGTATAATCTTTTCGGAAGAAATTCACGTACCGTGGCGAAATGAAAGGTAAAAACATAACTGCGAAAAGAAATAAAAACACGTACAAAAAATCATCATGTAATCGGCTATATGAAAGCAGGTACAATTTTGATTGAATTGATTTATTTTGTTTGCAAATGAGCAGACAAGTCACTTGATGATAAGTGACCACCGCCGTTCATGGTCCATGGTCCTATATTTCACTCACTTGTTAAAAAGCAATGAAAAAATTGCTTTACATTGTTTTTTTGTGAGGTGGCACTAATTTCAAACACCACATTGTCATACTCCTGGCTTCTTTAAGGAACTGGAGATCCAAAAAGATTTTCCACCTCTTTAACTAAAAGAAAGTCGTGAGAACTGGTCGGGCACAAACATACATGTAATACCTTTGAACTCATAAGATTACATTTATGGGTAATATATGATGATGTGGAAGCTGCTTGGTTGTGTCTGTGAAAATAGTCGTCGTTGACAACAATAAAATATTTTGCCTCATAGCTGGATAGGACGAAAGCATGACAAAATATATTGCTAATAGTTACTGTTATTCGTCGTATGAACTCCAAAAAAGATAACCGAATCGAAGTCAAGATATGGATGCTTTTAGGCCTACGTCAGTCCCTCGTTGCTGAACCAAGTACTACAGATTCGATACTCATTAGTACGAAAGTAATATTCTCAAAATCATCATCATCTTCATCATCAACAGCCTTTAATAGTCCACTGCAGGACACATTTCTCTCCTTAGAAAGGAGGTTAAATAATATTTCGCATTTGTGTAGGGTCTTTGGAGTCTATTCAAGAGTCAGTCATATTTTTCACCCTTTATAAATTACTACTACTACTAGGTATAGTGTTTATTGAGTTACATTGAATTTGCATTACAATCCATACTTAAAATTCTGAAAACGAGTTTGTTTCTTACGCTTTCACAACTAAACCACTAAACCAATAGTAATAATCATCTATGGATAGCGAATAACATAGGCGTTTTTACTGCAAAAACCGACATGTAACAGAGCTACAGGCAAAAGCTAGTACACATCAACAGTTTTACTAGTCCACTGCTGGACATAGGCCTCTCCTTAGAAAGGAGGTTTTGGCCTACTATAGTATGCTGGCCAGACGGGTTGGTGGTAACACTGTATTCTTAATCCATCAACACAAAGACGCTACTTAAATGATCTGACAAAGATGTGAAAGGCTAACAGTACAACACGGAGTCCTAGTACACTATAATTACATTACCATTACAGAATTTGGAAATGAAAAGGTGTTTGGAACCCAAAAAGAATAACGAAAACTAAGAAAGAGTTGCTTAATACCGGTCTTTAGGGAGGACATGTCTTACCCTGGTCGACTGAGGGGTCAGGGACAGGGATCTCCTACCGCATAGGTTTTTAATATTAAAAGGTTTGGATTACTTTACACTTACCAAGTACGATGGTGTATTTAAGATTTAACTTCATGATTATTTTAGAAATACTTTCCAGTTAACCGATGGCCTCTTGTAATAAGTCACGACTGACATATGAGAAGACTTACTTCTATATATATAATATAATAAAATAATATTTTTAAACTACAAGATGTTTGTAAAGAAAAATTTTCATTTACGATATTTGCAGTAATAGCAGTACTTGAAAAAACTTATGTTATACGGCTGGGCCGATTAGAGTGATCCTTATTATGTGTTAACAATAAGCCGAATTATAGATTTTAGGAAAAATATGTTAAGTAGCTAGAATAATCCAAAAATTATAATATTATTTATTTATAATAATAATAACCTCAGACATCTCACATACGGTCGTCTGATCTCAAACTAGGCAGACTGTTGATAAAAATACTTATATATTTCTAAATATATACATAGCATAGATAAATTACACCCAGATACAGGACAAAAGATCATGCTCTTCACAGAATATTTTTGCCCTGCGTGGGAATCGAACTCACAACCTCGGGCTTAGCACTCAGCGTCACTAATCACTAGACCCGTCTCTTCAATTTCGGGCAGAGTGGAATTGTTATTATCCAAATATATTGAAAATTAATAGGACGACATCTAGAATCAGTAGGTTAGGAGGGTTATGCTTACTGCCATAAGTATAGTAAGAAAAAGTCCATTGTTATATAATGTATAGTATGTTACCTTTAAAGTCTCAGCTATATTAAAATTGGACACCCTGTATGTTGATTACATTGTTTATTGACCGATATGAAAGGTCCAGCAAAATATACACACAATAAACTTTAAGTATTATTTGTTATGTACAAATTATTAATAATAAATAATTTATATTTTGGTCATAATTTACTGAGATAATACTGACTGAGTTATTTAATTATAAACACAAAGTGTTCATTTTACCCGACCTTTAGAAAAGGTGGAGGTTCATCATTCGGTTTCATTTTTTTATGTTTGTTACCGTCTGTATTGTACTGAACTCCGTCGTTTATAAACCGGCTTGGAAAGTTCTTTTTCATTAAGGATGGTATACATCTCGATTTGTCCACTTGAAATTTGAAGAACACATGGTGGTACACCATGGTGTAGGCGCATGAATTTTGTGACATTTATAATGCGTCGAGTGAAACGAGAAGGAGTGATTTAATCATTTGTTATTTTACATTTTGTAAAGGTTTATTTATATTTACATATATTATATAGTTTTGATTACTAGTTCTCAATAAAAACTCGTTTATCAAAACTGTTGCACTCTTGGCATGTCACAAATAAAACTTACCTAAAGGAACGCAGTGTATTTATTTGCTGACATAGTTGTATCAAAAAATTTGAGTAAGTTTACTATTTTCAGGATAACAAGCAAATATCTTCAGTAACTGTCTATAAATTAATAATGCGGCACGTATTGAAAGGGATTTTTTGTCTCTGGAGTCCCAACCACTGGTATCTTGGTCCTTGTACCCGATACCGATGGGACACTATTTTTTATATTTTTAAATATGTACGTTTTTTGTACGAATCAAAAATGTATTTAAAAATATAATTTATATGTCTAGTTTAATGAAATGAAAAGAGTAATAAAATAATAATATATTTTATAATATATTTATTTATTTCGAATCACAAAAAGTACAGCATTTCATTAACAATCTTCAAATTTACATACAGTGATGCAATAACTCCTATATAGTTTTCTTCATACATATGTTTTGTGAGGGCCTTTTTGTCTGATTTAGGTTAAAAACCTGTTATTAAGACATCCGGACCCCTTCTAGCGCCTGCCCGCAACGCTACATTCTCCATTTACGCGACACACGCAGACATCGCCTCCTCGCGGCTAAGAGGGATCTGAATGTCTTAATAACAGCAGTTCCCGGATCCCTCCTGTTATAGGCGCAGAGTGGCACACCGTGTGGTTTTAGTCGGTCCGATTCCGACACACCACCCCGTCGCAAACCCCGGTAGGGTAACGGCCCGAGGGGGTTTCCACACGTAAAAAAAAAAGGTTAAAAACCTGTGCTACAGATCACCGGGTCCTCACCCCACAATAACAAATACAAGTAAACAATGTAGGGTTTGTTCCACAAATTTTTACATCTGCATATACTGTTAACAACCTCATTCTATTTTATTTGTGAACTTCTTGAATATTTTAAAAATTGGTTGCTGTGTGCGTGCTTGCAAAGTATATGTCTTTATGTGTGTGTGTGTGTATGTATGTGAGAGAGAGTGTATGTGTTAGTAGGTTGGGTATGAGAGTATGTGTATTATTATTGGAACTTATTATTATTGGAGCAACATCTCTGTACATGTGTAATCTAATCGTTTTAGCCAATCTCTTACTACGGACTTACATTTCAGCCTTGACATTGAATAAATAACTAATAACCTATTTGACTTGTTATATAAATTACATCCTTGGTAGACAAGGAAGCGGTGGTATCCTTGGTAGAAATAATAATAATAACAACCTCACACATCTCACACACGGCCGTCTGATCCTAAACTAGGCAGAGCATGTGCTATGGTAACCAGACTTCTGATAAACATACTTATATATTTCTAAATACATACATATTATAGATAAAAATTACACCCAAACACAGAACAAATGACCGTGCATAACACAACTATAGTAGTCAGGGTCACCAGCAGGCTCGTCCAATAAACACCAAGTTTAAATATAGTGGTTAAAAATTAATAAGTTATAAATAATGTAACAATTGTATAGAACATTGAATTGGAAGTTGTATAATGAATTTACGTTGTAATAATTTAAGTTGTATTATTGTAGTTTTATAATGTAAAAACAAAGCAAACTACGCAGGACAACAGCAGGCTGGCCAGCGTGGTATGCTAGGCCAAAATCTTCATTCTAAGGAGAGGCCTATGTCTAGCAGTGGACTATTAAAGGCTGTTGATGTGATGTGATGTGTATAATGTAAATATAAACCCAGAATTATACACGTGAGTAAAACTATTCGTCTTCAATAAATATTAACACTACTTTAACATTGTATTAACACACAATTCTTTTATTCTATGCAAATTTAATTTTTATTCTAAGTTCTTCACAAAACGGAGGTATGATAAAAATAACAGTATTCTCATGCGTAAGCCGCCCGAGAGAGACTTCACTTAGTTTTATGACTAAGGTAAGAATCACCCAAGAAACTAAAATTTTACACCTTAATGAAATTTCTATTTTAAATTAGATTTTGGGAATTTGCACTCAGCCATTTTTTTAAATATTCTGTAAGTGTATGTTAGGTAATTGATTCAGTTCGATTTAGAACGTTAATAATTTATAACTTGTTTTACATACATGTGATTTGATGACTTAAAGTAAAACACTTAGATTGGGTATTAATCGTAGTTGTTACAATTTATTGTTTTTGTCTTTTTTGTAAGTTTTTATGCGCTAGACTGTTTGTACAACGTATTTTTCTTTACTAGTATCATTCAGTAGATATTTTAACTCAGAAAAACCCATAGAACAATAAAAAAGGACAAAAATAATTATCTCGATTGGTCGTCTGTACGTCACGCAATCACGCAAAAAGTACCGAATGAATCTTAATGAAACTCGGCATAGTGATTTGGCATATTGAGAAATAATATCTGCAGTAGTTTTTATTCCCGTAAAACTCTGACCTGCCATGAGATGGGGGCCCAAAAGTAGTCTAAAATTTCATTTTTGAGTTAGAGTTTTGAAAATGAGTTTAAGGGTACAGAATCACAAATAGATACTAAATAAAAATAAATTACTTTAAGGTTTTTTATGTATATTATGATCGGCTATTTAGCTATGTGTTCGTAACCATTGATAGACGAATGGTTAAGGCGTCCAACTACACTCTAATGGTTGTAAGTTCGATTCCTACTTCGGATTTTGTTTTTTTTTTTCTGTTTTGGAACGAAGTTCCCTATCGTGCGTTACACGCAGTGGATGGGGGCTAGACCTTCTTTATTCTTAGAGTAGGCTGGTCATGTCGGTATGTTTAAGTATTTTCGGTTATAGCTGGAACACCTTAGAATAGATATAAATTTCGCTTAAATTAAAACCAAAATTTTCTTATTTGTTTATTGTTCTGCAAAAGTGACCTTATATGAGGTATATCATCTGCCTTTAATAGTCCACTGCTGGACATAGGCCTCTCCTTAGAAAGGAGGCTTTGGCCTACTATACCACGCTGGCCAGACGGGTTGGTATAGGGTTTGTGTCAAGTTTTCCTTCTCTTTGCAGTGCTGTTGTCCTGCGTAGTTTGCTCCCTTAGTCGGCTCTTACGACACCCACGGGATGAATAGGGGTGGTGACACTCCGTATTCTTAATCCGTGAACCACACGGACATACATATATATTTATTAATTTAAAGTAATATTGACAAACTTACTTGATTAGATTCTAGTAATTTACGTAATTGACGTCTTTCGGATGTGATGATGATTAATACATCCATCAATACTCAAGATCGATGAGAGGTATCAACATTTTATTTTGTTTAGATTTAACGCAAACATTATCTATAGTAACGAAGAAAAAAATGTTCAAGATTCTGGTCTATTACGTATTTATATTTCTAAGGAGAGGCCTATGTCCAGCAGTGGACTAGTAAAGGCCGTTGATGATATGACAATTAACATTCGGTCACGTATAGGTTCCAATATTATAGATGCACAAGAATTTTCTAATTTGTTACTCGAAATTAGTAATATTACGTTTCCAAAAGACGAAAGGTTATTATGTTTCAAGAAGAAGATTAGACCTACATCTCGCTTATGTCAGGTGATTTCTACTTCCGAAGAACTAAAAACATCAGTATACAGAGAGTGTCAAACTTGAATTACTCTTGGTTCTGTGATTGACTACCCGCAATGTCCACAGTTTTATAATATAGTAAGTATATATATATATATATATATATAGTAAGTATAGAGGGTGACAATTCTTTTTACCATACTATAGTCGAGTTTTTTAATTCGTTATCTGCGTCAGAGCTTCCTTCGCATGTTTAAAATCTAAAAGTCAGTATGCTTATAATCATACTGTACATCATGACTTAAGTGCACTAAAACTATGCAACGGGATATGGCTTTCAGTAATTACTTACACATTGCATCCGAACCTCAAAGAAGCGGAATCTTGAAGGGATGTGGTGTCAGAAGGTTTTATACCGAATAATTTCCCGTTACGCTTTTTTGACATGTTAGAAATCACTGTAATATTTTTTATAAACTAGATTTTAGCTTATAAAGTAAGCTAGAAGCTGGTTTTTAAAAACTCTAACATATAGTAGTTACCTATTTTAGAAAAGCTAAGTCAAAATTAAAAACCGTACGAATTTTAAAGTTTAAATATAAAATTTTCTAACTACCAAATATTTTTAGGGTTTGTTTAAGTATTAGATTCAAAATAGTTTGTGCCGCCAGAATTTATCACAACACGAATACAATTATTCCCTAATAATACCCAATACTTTTCACACGTACGAAGTAGCGGGCACAGCTAATTTAACAATAAGGTTCAACACAAGGGTCGTTGCTGCATCATATATGATATCAAACTGAGCAGAACAAGTAAGTGATGTACACATATAATGCGTCGTTCTGTAATAAAACAAGCGCTGATTAGATAAATGAAATGTTTAATTAAGAGAAAACTGAAACAATAAAGGTATTCGTTTTTGTTACATAATATTATATATTGGTTATTTCAATTTCACAAATGAAGGGTAAGAATTTATTACAATCAGTAGTGGTGGTATAAATCTGCGAACCAGAAGATTTAATAATAGCTCCGCAGTCAAACTCGCGGTCGTTATCGCCGTACGGGTATTGATATACAGTATCCAATTTTTGACCTACAAACAAAACAAAAATGGTTTTTTGGAAAGGAAATAACAATTACCTGTTGATATTGTCACGTACATAGAATAATCATCCGATCTGGGGCCCTACATGGAGTGTTGGCTAATAATAACAGTAATGAAATAAAATAAATTAATTTGTGGTGTCATCGAATGATGTTCTAAGAACTTCAAAGGAATTTAAGACTTGATTTAAGCCAGTTACGGTTTATTTAATCCTGTGTTTAGAGGGGCATTACCTTTAATGGTGTAAATTTCGCCTCCTGGCGTAACGCTGTGAGTACCAACATGAAACCTATCCTCGTTATGCGCGTTGCGTTGTAGGAAATCCTGTAACCAGCGTGCTTCATTTTCGTTTTGCATGATTGTTAGTATACCTCCTTCCATATAACATGTTCGGTACGCTTCATCCCACGTTTTTTGTCTTCGATTGATTTTATAACATTTTCTTAAAGATTTTGCGTGCTTATATTCTGAAAGTGTATTTAAAAATATTATTATTTTTAAGCTAATTTCGTGGGAATTATACCTGCAAACTTTTTCACTATACAATAATAGGTAGGTAGGTTGATGAAATAAACTTCATTAGAAAAATAAAATTTAAAAAAATGGCTATTTTTCATGACGAGTGTAAATTCATTCTTTATTAGCATGATGGTAGGCAGTTGGTGTACAGAAGACCAGGGGAGCGCTTCCATCAAGCGTGTGTGGAGGAAAAAGTGGCGTACGGTGGAGGCTCCATACAAGTTTGGGCTGGGATTTCTACTGAGGCCCGCACCGAGCTGGTACTCATTCAAAATGGAACTCTAAATGCAGAAAGGTACGTGGAAGAGATCCTCAATGAACATGTAGGTCCTTTCATGGCCAGGATGGACCGGCATGGCATATTAATGCATGATAATGCGCGTCCCCATACCGCCAGAATTGTACATGACTACCTTGAAGAGGTCGGTATCGAAATCGAACAGTGGCCAGCGCGAAGCCCGGACTTAAACCCCATCGAGCACGCCTGGGACGAGCTTCAGAGATGCGTGAAAGGTCGAAACCCCCCACCAATCACGCTTCCCAAGCTCAAACAAGCATTGATGGAGGAATGGGAAGGTATTCCTTGGCACCGGCTCCGAAATTTGGTGTGCAGCATGCCTAATCGCCTGGAAGCTGTCATAAGAGCTCGTGGAGGCAATACAAAGTATTAAATGAAGAAAGTGATGAAAAACAGCAAAAAAACAATCATAAAAAAATGAAGTCTTAAGAAAAATATGACTACTTTAGTTTTTTTTTAAATTTAGAGATAAGTTAAGAGTTAGAGAGTTTAGATTTAAGTTTTATTTTATTTTTTATCTGTATAATTAAATTCTCAATTGAACAGTCTTCGTTTCATTAGGATGGCATACGTAGTTCGGGAGATATTCGGGTTTATGTGACTGACCCGTTATTTTTGGAACCGAGTTTACTTTAGTTAACTTCCTAGGAGTTCCTGGAACTCCTAGTAAGTTTTTGTTGTGGGAGAGCCATGCTTCGGCAGTATTGACCAGGCTCGATTAGAGTGATTCAACGAGCTCACAGAAAACCTGTGTGAAGCAGTTCATTGTTTACTTAATCCGTCACGCGGACAAAAGTCATGTTAAATAGCTTATATTATTCATTAATTAATGCATACTTGTATTATAAATGTGAAAGTAAGTTTTTTGTTTGTTACCTTTTCACGCCTAAACTACTAAACCGATTTTAAAAATTCTTTCTCGCGCGAGTAACATAGGCTACTTTTTACCGCGATAACCGATATACATGCGGGCGGAGCCGCGGGTAAAACCTATCAGGTACACTACATAATTCAAGAGAATCATTGAAATCTGACAGATAGTTGCAAAAAACTGTCCAGATTTATTATATCACTATAGATTACATACATCACTCACATCTTTGTAATTGTTGTGTATTAAACGTCCACATTTTAAAGACTATAACTTTAGTTCTACTTACTGAATAGGAGAGCTTTCATTGCCGTCAACCAGACACGTATATTTCTAAAAAAAAGTTCTAACACATTGCCAAATACGTACATATAATAGATAGATACACCCAGATACAAAAAAACTATCGTGCCCATCATACAATATTTATCATGGGTGGGAATTAAATTTACGACCATTGGCTTAGCAGTCAAGATCGCTACCTACAGGTCCGTCTATAGATACTATAGATATGTATATAATACATCATTATTCTATAGCTACAATCTTGAATTCAAACGCTTTAACATACGAAACCCCTATTCATCCCGTGGGTGTCGCAAGAGCCGACCTTAGTCAGGAGTTCTGTTGTCACTCCAGTTCTGTTGTGTTCCACAACTATACATATATATATACTATACTAGGCCAAAACCTCCTTTCTAAGGAGAGGCAGTGGACTGTTCAAGTCTGTTTATGATTATAATGAATATACGAGTATGTCGAACCAACTCACCTAGATCAACAGTCGGACACATTACGCTGTTAGTCTTTTTACAAACGAAATTCAAACCATCCTGTAGATCTTTCCTTGCACAAGGTCCTACTCGATAAGATCCTTTGAGGATGTTCATGAGTACACAATAGCCTGAAATAAATCTGATGTTACCCGTTGGTTCGCTCACAGACAAGGAAGACTCAGTTGGCAGTCCTGCAAAATAGAATAAATGATATGGTAAAAAAAAAACTAATAGCAAATAAAAATAAGAACAGTAAGAGAGACGTTGAAATGACTATTCCCTTCTTTCTTCTTTAAAATTCATAGTAAGAACAATAATAAGAAATATTTGAACAGTATTTTCTCAGGACGAAAAGTGAGATAAGAACACATAAAAATATTTTATTTAGGACTATATTAATTTACAATTTTATAATTTCATCATAATTATTCCTACACTTATCCAAAATTTTATTTATGTCACATTGAAAGGAGATTTTGTTGTTTTTTTATGGCCGATCCCTACCAAAACTGGGAATAAAAAGGAAAAAAGTATTTTGGATAAAAAATATATTAGAGCCGTTGCCCGTCCCATCTTTTAGATATGAAATATCGAAATTACTTTGTAGAAATAGAAGTATAAAAAGATAGCTCATGAAAAGTAATAATTAATTTAGCACAATTAAAACAGATGCGACGCGTCGCCACGCCAACAGCCAGTCTGACTCTCCGCATTAGATATTTCACATCAATAAGGCCATTCAGGTAAGGTAACGGATGGAAACAAATAGACAGTTCATCTCATGGTAAGAGGCTACCACCGTAAAATAAAATGTAAGTTTCACTCACGTATAAGAGAAATATGTGCCCGTTGAGTTGACGCCAATAAGCTTGGGGTCAACTCAATGGCAAATATTTTTCTAAATTGACACAGAAATATTACATGCTCTTACGTAAACGCTAAATATAAATACGTGTAATATAAATCATTTAAGTTCAGATTTTAAGATATAATACAAGTTTTAGCTACCATCAACAGTGACAAATTCTCCCAAACCGTATTTGTCGTGTAGACCGAGGAAAATATCTGTTACACTGTCATTATGGCTTCTTGCCACTTCCATAGCTAATTTTCTAATTAAATGCAACTCTTCTGTATTTTTAGGGTAGAAAAGCGAAGCTCCTTCGTCATCGCATGCGAGGAAGGCGTCGTCCCATGTAAACACTTTGTAATTCCAATGCAGTTTATAGAAGGCATCGAATGTTTCATTATAAGTGTAATCTTTTCGGAAAAATTGAATTTGCTTGGCTGAAATATATGTTAAAAATGCACCTGGGAAATGTAAAAAAAACCTATTTGAGAAATGAAAAAGTCATGGGTTATGTCCGAATTAAATTACTACTCCCTTCTATATGTTAAAAAAACCATTAATATAAACAGGCTATTAACCGCATAAAAATATACGTTACGTTTCTATACAAATGTATTAAAATTGAAAAAATCATTTTTTATTTGTTTTCGCTTTTCTTCGGAGTTAAGAATCTTCAGATTTCAGAAATTCAGAAATACAATAGGCTATGAAGCATACGACCCATTTCAAGTGAGGCACTGACCCTAAACGCGGGTCGAACTGCGGGAATGGGCAGATTAAGACTAATTACCTATCTAAAAAAAATGTTAGTAAGTTGTGACCCTTGGCTTTAACAGGAAGCTATTTTACTGTGGAGATTTTATAGCATTTGCCGTTTTTGTGTAATTCTAAACAGCTGTTTGAATTAAAATATGCACAAAAACAAAAAAGTATTACTATCCTCTGCCCACGGTTTCGTCTCGTTGAATTTTTTTTTCAAATCGATTAAAACATCACTACTTTTTTCATTATTTAAATATTTTTCCTTTTATATACTCATTAAAAGGCGTATGTTGAATGTATAATTTATTCGTGATTGGTTACGTCGGTCACTTCTTTTATTAACCGATAATTGTTATGTAAAGACAATTTTTTTTTTGCACCATATTACCCAAAATATATTAGAAAAAAGAAAATACATTAATATAACATTGTTTTTATATGTTAACTTACCGAAGAACACAACTTTGACTACGCTTTTCATTGTGCAAAACTTTTGCACTAAGTAATGTAATACGAGAACAAATAACTAATGCTGACTTCTGTTAACAGTATATATACGCAAATGTAATCAAGTATCAAAATGTAAAGTAAGATATCAAGAACTCGGCGGTTTTATGATACAGGTTGTATGAATTATGTTGTTCAATATTAATTAATAATATAAAAATAATAATACTGTTTATATCATGATAATAAATTGTACAATTTGTTACACACTTGATGGTATCCTAATCCATACACCATTTAGTGTCTGAACTAGATAATTATATATCTGTGCTTCAGACAGCAACGCTCTTCCTAGATAATAATACATTCATAAACTAAGATATGTTTATCATTCATAATAACACATTGGAAACAATAATATATTAATAGATTTGAGGAGTATGAACCTCCCTGTATGTAATATGATAGTGCGAGTGTGTGCATGGGGAGGATGAGTATGAAATCTATTTCGGTATATTAAGTAAATGTTCGGTTTCACCATAGTTGAGTTCACAGAGATATTCATTCAATTTGTTTTACATTATTTACTACATGCTCTAAATATTATGTCAATTATTTGATTTAATTTATTATATAATTAAGGGCCTAGAAAGAAGAAAAAATATTTGCATATTGATTTTAAAAAATAGTTCTGTTGACGAAAGTAACATCATTACGTCGCTTGGAGTTTAAGACAGTTTTATCAAAGGTCGGTCGACTGGCAGAGAATGCCTTAGGCATTAAGTCCGCCGATGCACACATTTGTGCATAAAGTCATAAATAAATAGAATAAATAAATAAATCTTGAGTGTTTCCTAATTCCTGAAAGCAGAATAAATAACTGACAGAACTTCACAAGAATGATAATGCTGATACGCAGGGAACCTACAATGGCGAAAAGTGTTCACCCTGAGAAGAGCTCTCTGTACTAGAGGTTTCATGATATTTTTAGGTGCATCTCCCAAGACAGTGATGCAGTAGGTTGCTATAGATTGACCAAGAGCTATGTAAACCTGTTTAACTAAAGTGAGATCTGTTGTATGTCTTAGTTGTTTAAAAACGGATATCAGTTTTCTCAATATGTTGTTGAAACGAGAAGTTTTGTTGCATTTAATGTAGGCCATTTTATTTTTAAACTGGATCAGTATCAGATCGTGGGAGTACCATGCTGCGGCACATATAGGCCATAAGGGCCAGCTTGAAAGCAGTGATACTATTACAGAACATTTAAAAGAGATCTCATTTAACTGTTCTGTGGATACAACGATATGAAACCGAATGCTGTTAACGACCTAATCAGGTCTAGTTTGAAGTGAAATTTGTTAAAATAGTGCAGTAGTGTTGCCATCGCGAAAGATAATTGATCGGAGTACCTATTAAACATCGTGAGCTTAATTTTACCAAAAACTTGTTTATGCTAACAATATGTTATGAAAGAATTGAGTTAATTTAATGTTTTTATAGGTTTTTGAAATGACTGTTTCAATTATATTTAGCTTTATTGATATAACACCTCCGTAGAAAATAAATAATAACTTTTACTGACCTACCGATCTCAATAAACCATAACAAATAAACAAAGGCCACCTAAAGTAGTTACTAATAAACGTATAATGTATTAAAATTCTTAAAATCAAATTTCAAAATTGTTTAATGTTGATAGATTTAGAAAAGTTGATAAATTAAATTTAAACCATTTTCACAATAAAATGAGTCTATCAACTTATTGTTTATCAAAATCGGTTAAGCCGTTTAGTTGTAACGAGGTAACGTAGGAACAGACCCATACATTTAAGTCACCCTTCCTGTTTTAGTTTCTACGTAGTCGAGCATAACTTGAGAAATTTCCGTTGCACACCCTGTATAGCTATCATAAAATTAATACGAAATAAAATGGCGTCGACACAATCGTGCTATTATTTGATTCGTACTAGCTTATCAATTCTAAAAAGGAACAGTCAGTTGTATATCCTTTCATAAAAGATAATTTAAAAAAATATCAAATACGGACGGCATTTTACATCAAGAAAAATAATTTTGACTTCATTTTTTTTTAAAGACATCTCCCACATTAGGAATATATCCTGTATCGCGCGGGCCTTTACAAACGTACAATTTGTTGATCACACAAAGTGTCGTTCCATGTGGGGATGAGATCCACAACACTTAGCGTTGTAGTAAGTGGCGCGGCGACCACTTAAACCACTGCGCCATCCGTGCAGTCCACACATTGACACAATATTTATTTTAACTTGTAAAAATATATTGTACCTCCTTACATGTATACACATACGGTCTGTTGGTCTAGTGGCTAGAAATCCTGAGTGCTAAGCCAAAGGTCGTGGGTTCGATTCCCACCCAGGGCAATAGGTCATGTGGTTTGTGTTTCCGTGTAATTTACCTATAATATGTATGTGTTTAGAACATTAAGCATGTTTGTGAACTGCCTAAATAAAACTAACAGCTACCTTAATATATAGATACTTAAATCTATATCTATATATATATATATATACGCATTCAATTTATTTAAAGTACTCAGTTTACCGAATTGCACTCATATTAAAATAATGTAAACAATACACTTTAAAAAAGGATTAAGTTCAATGTCCCAACATCATGACGTATAGTACTAAACTTTACTTAACTTTTTATAAATAAATAAGTCTGAGAGAACCTGCTCCTTTTATTTTAGTCGGTTAAAAACTCTAACAAAATTTCGTCGAGCACTCACTATTTGAGAATAATACCTTTCCTTTTCTTCCAAGACGAGTCACATCGCTTTGATGGTAATCAGAAATAAAAGCATGTTTTGCTTTAAATCATAATAAAATGACCATATAAAAATAAAAGTATCATTTTTAATATATATATTTATATATTTTTTTATATTTTATATATATATATTTATCGACGGGCCTGTTGGTCTAGTGGTTAAGTAGTGATTCAGACTGCTAATACAGAGCTCATGGGTGCGACACCCACCCAGGACAAATATTGTGTGTAATAAACAAAAGCATTTTTTTTTGTGGATGAGTGTTCATTCATTTGTATTAAACGTAATAAGTTTGTATTTAGAAATATATAAGTATTAATCAGTAGTTTGGTTAACATATTAGCTGTCTAGTTTCGGCTCAAAGACATATGTATACAATCTTCCCAGGAAAAGAATTAACCTTCGGTCATTTTTTGGTTCCCTTGCAGCGTAAATGATTAGTTTATTGAAGGAAAACGTTTCATGATACAATATTTATCATTTAGACGGACACATCCTCATACTCCGAACTTTTACCCAAACTAGGTTGGGTTCGGCTCTCAGTTTACACGTTCCACCAGGGCCTCAATTCTGCTATTTTATGTTCACGCCAAGCCAGTGTAATATTTTTTTTATTTCTTTTTTTATAATTTTATGTTTTTAATAATTTCTTTTAATTTACTAATTTATTTTAATAATTTATTATAATAAAAATAAATAAATCATTTCCTCAATAAACGTAATATATTTTCAACTACCGATATTTATACCGATGCCAATGGGGCCACTCGATGGCATCTCAATAGCGTGTCAGTCGTATGACAGTGGCTTGGCGTAAACATAAAATAGCAGAATTGAGGCCCTGATCTCCACAACCCAAGTATCAGGCGATTTTAAAATTCTGTAAGTAGACCGCTGTCGGACTTTTTAGTGGTCCAACTTCCAGTAACGATTATCACATGTGTTCGTATGGCAAACGGGACAGATGACTTAGCTACTCTGAGGCACTAAGAGGTCTCAGTGTGTTTAAAATTTTCATTGATGCATAGACTGACTTGGCCAGGATTGCTTGACTATGTAATTAGCTAACGTACTCGGTAACCACTTAGGCACGAGGCCCTTTACGATACAAACGTATAATTTTACGTTTTAATAATTTTTAGAATAGAATAGAATATTCTTTACAATTACAATTTTTACCATCATGAATTTCTAAAATATTTTTATCTTCAGTGAAACAATAAATAAATAACCTGGCGTTTAGTGGTATATTTCTCTTATAATCTCATAAGTGTCTTTATTCATGATCAGCTGACCCGCGCAACTCCGTTTGCATCTCTCATAAATATTCAACGTTTTTTCAAGGATACTGAGCCCATATTAGTCGTAGCGTGATATAGTATAGCCTTTCTCGATAAATGGGCTTTCCAACCCAAAAATATTTTTTCAATTCGAACCCTACTGGTTCGAATTCCTGAGATAAGCGTGTTCAACCAAAAAAAAAACTCTTCAGCCTTATAATAGGGATTACTCGTTTTGTCAATCAATTTAGATATTCTTGGGTAACAGCAATTTTAGCCCTAGCAACCTGAATACCAAATTTCTTAACAATCAGTCAAGTAGTTCTGTGGTAAAAATGTATAAAACCAAAACAAAGGACCTTTTATTCTCTCTTCTCTCCGTCATTTAGGTTATGATATTAATATTAAAGTGATAATGATAATATTAAGAGATATTGTTGTTGTTTCAACAACAGATATACATAAGTATGTGTGTGAGTATGACATTTAAGCGTAGGTTCAAATATCGCAATTCTGCAAGATATCAATTTCTCACTGAAATAGACTTTATTATCTGGCTATTCAACGCCAGTGATAGAATGCTACCTATATGTGTTACCAATATTTTTAACATTGATAAATAAAAAGATAATTGTAAAATCAACATTGATACATCCAGAGGTTTGTTTTTTAATGATCAGCACAGTTAGGCAAAGTCTCGTCGTTTAAATTATCCGTTGATGAAAAATTTGATTAGTTTTACGATTGGCTTGCAAGTTAACGCACATAGGTTCTTTTTTAAATTGCATCAATGTTAAGATTAACAGAAAAAAATAAAATAATACACCAAAAATAATAACCAATTATATGATGAGATATGTTAAGTGTGTCAGGTATTTTGTCTATCAAAGTTGTAGGAAAGCATGTAGAGTATTGTAGAGTCAATAGTTGTTTATTGAGGCCTGCGACTTAGTAACATGCAACAATGTAGTCATGCCTAACTTATTTTTAGGTAAATGGAACGATTAATTAGTGGTGATAAATGTTGTTTATAGCTATCATTAATTTAAACTGAGGTTTAAATTATGCTATGATTATGTTATTATATAAATTACTAGGTTTTATCCGTGGCTCCGCCCGCTTAAAAAGTAGCATATGTCTTTCCTCAAGAATCAAACCATGTCCATACCAAATTTCATCTAAATCGGTACAGCGGTTTAAGCTTGGTCATTCAACAAAGTGCCCAAGTGAGGTGAAGGTAATTCGTGCAACTATGCCAAAATATAAATATTATAACATATTGCATATAAACACAAAGCAGTTTGGGTACCGGCCTGAGTTAAGAATGTTAACATGTTATAACATTCATAGAACCAGGCGTTGTTCACCTTGGAAGTGACGTCTAAAGCACACGCGGATGATCCAATATGATCAACGCCAGGCTTGAAGTTTTGGGTGGCCTGGTCTGGTTTTTAATTAAATGGTTTTACCCAAAGGTGGATCCCGCGCTTAGCAAGCAGGCCCTTAAAAGGCACGCGGATGTCTTAAAAAACTGTTTCTGGATTCCTCATATTTTAGGCAAAATATGGCACACCATGTGGCTTTAGTCCGTTTAATTCCGACAGACCGTCGGAATTCCACCGTCAAGACCGGTAGTTGTATTCATATACAAAAAAGGCAGTGTTTACATGACGAGTGTAGGTAAGTCATAGTCGGTTAGGCTAAACACTATCATTATCTGTTTACCGTAATATGAGTACTATCGTAGACTTATTAATGGTTGAGCTGATGAGGTCATAAAAGAAATTTGCTCTATTTCTTCTGTCATCTCATCATTATGATAATCTTCTTACCCTTTTCCCAAGTTTGTTTCGGAGTCGGTGCAATGAGTTTTTTTCTTCAGTTTTGATGGGCCTGTTGGTCTAGCGGTTAGTCTGACATCTAAGCAGGAGGTCGTGGGTTTGATTCACCCAGGACAAATAATCGTCTGGGTGTAACCTAGTCTGGGTGTAATTTATCTATAATAGATTGTATGTATTTAGAAATATTTAAGTATGTTTATCAGCAGTTTGGTTCTCATAGGCTCTGCCTGGTTTGGGACCGGACTGCAAGATGTGTGAAGTTATTATTATTTTTATTCTTGTCTATAACTCGCCAGTTCACTGTTTACACCCTTACTAACTTACCTTTATTAGTAGGCCATCTGTTTTTTGTTTGACTCTTGCATCTTCCTTACTACATTTTGCTCATTTAGTCATATCACATAATGTACACAATTACAGATTAACGTGGGAAAGGGGCACACCCGTTCATAGGCGGCGGTAGTAACTTTACATTAGGTGACCGGGTTGCTCGATTGCCTCTTTATTAAAAAAAAACAAAAGGACGATATTAAAATTCAATTTTGAAAAATAATTTAAAAATGATTATTCAGTAAATCGAATAAAAATAAAACTTTTAATAAAATCAGTAATTTGCATCGCTTAAAAACTCGCCACCTGTACTTGTGAACTAATTAAAGTTAAACGGAACTACAACTTCTGAGCTCTCTACTTTGTTAAAGTTTTGTGTTGCCAGCACAGTTTTTAGAAGGTAACAGAACTAAAAAAGAAAACCATGACTACGCCCTTGATAAAAATACTTTTAAAAACTCTTATTAGCTGAATTCTTTTAAAGCTTTTCTTTTTTACATTTTCGTAGGAATTTAAAACAAATTATCAATTAGGTAAGCGTGTTGCATTACGTGAAAGCCTTAAAACAAGGTCAGATTTATAGCGATTATTTATAAACAGGTTTTGGGCAATAATGAAATTGGACATAAAAACGCACGAGTTAAATGGTACTTTATTTGTTAGTTGAAAGAGTCGCTAGTTAGTAAAATGGCCCTAATGAGTTAGTAATTTCTCCAGTCAGTTAAGTCTTTTTATACACATACTAGTAATTACGTACACATAATAATAATTTACATTTCAGCATCTAGAATTATGTTTATTTTATGACGTCACGCTAACCCACTATGAGCCGGCTCTACCGGAGTGATACCATGTCCTCGCATAAAGCTTTATTAAGCAATACTATCTTTGCTGTTACCGAGTAAATGAGGTTAGTGGGTGACCATTCCTCCCTTATTTCTGGGGGGGGGGGGGCTCCAACGCTCTTGGTTGTCTCGAGTTACAGGTGTCCATGGGTGGCGCTAGTCACCTACCGTCAAGCGACACGTTTGATCGTTTGCCTTCCTTACCATTTTTTTCAATTTATACAATTAATTTGAGAATTGCCAAACTGAACTGGCAGTAGGCGGGGCACATTGCTCGTAGAAATGATGGCCGGTGGTATGGTAAGTATGTTCTGAGTGGCAACCGCATACCGGAAGACCGAGCGTGGGTATGACCACAAGGTGGTCCCACGACCTGGTGAAAAGGTCTATGGTCAGTCAAATTTTATCTTCTTAAGAAGACAGTGGTCTTCTTTCGGCTGAGAAGAGAAGAATACAAAATTTATATCTTTTTTTTTGTAATGTAGCATAAAAAACACACTACTGTGATCATAACAATATATTTCTGGCGTAACATTATCATGTAAAATGCGATGTAATCTGTATTAATTGGTCACTGATAATTATGAATATTTACACATGTATTTTTTTTCTTTTCTTTAGGTTAGAGGGGGCAGACGAGCAGACGGGTAACCTGATGGTCAGGAGTCAAAAACGCGTTGCCGGCTCTTTAGGAAGGAGTACGCTTTTTTCTTGAAGGTTTGAAGGTCGTATCGGTCCGGAAATACCGCAGATGATACTCGTAACCCGTTCCACAGATTGGTTGTGCGGGGAAAAAAATATCTCGAAAAGCGCACTGTAGTGGAGCGCTAACTATCCAGGTAATGAGGATGAAAATTTTGTCGTGTGGAACGATGGCGGAAATTTACGGCTGGTATTAGTCCGAACAATTCCTCGGAACACTCTTCATGATATATGCGATAGAGAATGCAGAGTGAAGCTACATCTCTACGTAACGCCAAGGAATCGAGCCGGTCTCAAATCTTTTGGCTATCGACGATTCGATTCGACGAACAGTATTCCATATGCGGCCAGAGTTGCGCCTTATAGAGCTGAAGGCGGTGGGCCGGAGTGAAATACTGCCTCGATCTGTCAGCATATCGAGCTTCTTCGAGGCCAATTTGACCTTACCCTCTAAGTGACCCGGAAACTGGACTTCGCTCGATATGTCGATGCCTAGGATTCCGATGCTGGCTGAGGCAGTTAGGAAGGTGCTCTCAAACTTAGGTGATACGACAAATGGTATCTTTTTTGCGGTGAACGCGCAAACCTGTCTTTTTTGGGTTAAAATGGACTCGATTTAGTAGGCCTCATTTTGAAACCTCCGCTAAGGAAGTTTCATTTTCAGACACAAGTTTGTTACGATTCTCGATGACGTTTTCCCGAGAAATATTGGGGCGGCCGGTATAAAGGGCATCTCCTGTGTTATCATCTGCATAGCAATGGATGCTACTAGTTTGCAATGTAACGTCCTATATCCGCTCGTATGCCCCTGTCATGGCGCCCGCGGCGTCCAGAGTGCCCGCGACTCGCGAGCGAGACCGTCTAGATTGCCCCGGCACAAATACCGACCACCCGTAAAGTGCCCCACTGTTTTTTGCGTTATCGACGCGCGCGCCGTGTTCCACTTAATCGGTTCTTGTGACTAAAGTTTGTATTGAAAGGGTGTCAAGTGTTATATTTATTTAGTTGCCTATGAAATTAGCTAAACAATGTTATCTTTCTATTTACAGATTACGGCTCTGGTGTTGAGTTACACTGTGTTGAAATTGAGTTAACGTCTTTTTAAGCTCGTGTTGCACTTCGAAGCTCATAGTTCAAAAATGAAAGCGATGACCTATGGTTTTTAATGTTTAATTATGTTGTTTAGATAGTAGTTAATATGTTATGAAATAAAACCATATACTCTCCCATACATATTTATTTATTTACAGGCCTCTAAATCCTTACCATTATCGGCCGCCACGCGGCATAATTTATGTAAGATGAAATGACAGAAGTTTTATGACGTATAATTCTTTTTTTTACTAGTGTTTGCATGCTCGACTGAGATTAATACCATAGATAATATATCAGACTATAGAAAAAATATTACTAAAGAGCATTATGTCAATACAATTACTGTCAAATACTAATTAATCTGTGGCAGGAGCCATGTAGACTACCGGTCTACACGGGCACTTTACGGTTTTATTTTTGTAGACTACTAGTCTACACGGGCACTTTCCGTTTTTATTTTTGTAGACTGCTAGTCTACACGGGCACTTTAGGATTTCGTTTTTGTAGACCACTAGTCTACATGGGCATACTAGCGGATATACAATTGAATTTGCTTACATACGCAAATTCATTTGTATCGTGGAAATCATCGAAGGAAGCCACTTTTACACACTAATATTTAGCTTAATAAAAATATGTTTTACGTTGATTGCAATTATTTAAGCATTTGAGTCAAAACAGGTATACATATCTATTTTATCAATAGAACTACGATACTTCAAACACGAACTAAAACTATAGATCAGTATCCATAAAGAATATAACTTTTTAAGGCTCTGTTATTAATCAGTACCATAAAAGTCACACGCTACGTCAAAATAACCTCAAAAATGCATTATCAAAATTACCAATGAATGATAAGTGAAACAAATAACCTAAAAAGTAAAAATAAGAAATTTCACAATGGATTTTGGTAATAATATGTATGTATGTGCAGAATTAAGGCCTTTGGAACCAGCAGAGGTTTGCCTTAGGAAAAGAGCATTACGAGACGCTGCAATATGTATAGGGTGGCTAAAATTTGTAAGTACTGTATTAGTTTTTATAGATCTACAAATATTGTTATGCAAAAGGCATGCTAAACAAAACGCCTCAGGTTATAAAGTTCAACCTAATATTAAAGTCGTCTTATTAATATCTATTTAAATAAAACGGTTAAGTTGGTTTGTATACGGTTCAAAAACTCAAAAAGTTCTGCACACGCTTTAAAGAAGGTTTTTATCTATTTTTTGCAACCACAATGCGCCACAACGTAGCGTGGCAGGATACAACTAGTGTATTATAAATTTCGGTAACTGCTTTGAAGAGTATACATAAAATAAATAAATGTATATTTTTGGAGAGACATTTTAGTTTGTCTCGCTTTAAATAATATATAATATACAGTCCGTGTGGTGACAGATTAAGAATACCGAGTGTCACCACCCTTATTCATCCCGTGGGTGTCGTAAGAGCCGACTAAGGGAACAATCTACGTAGGAAAACAGCACTGCAAAGAGAAGGAAAGCTTAAAACACACCCTATAAAAACCCGTCTGACCAGCGTGGTATAGTAGGCCAAAACCTCGTTACTAAGTACAGTAGTGGACAAATTAGGGCTGTTGATGTTGTTGATGAAATATGTCGCAAGTCAGGATCTAAACATCAACAAACCATATAAATGTTCATGCAGTCAACGAGGGTTTTTTTTATGAACCCCTTAATATGATTTATTAATATGATAATAATCTAATGGAGATCATAAAATATATGAACTTATTGTTTACAGCTTTCAACTTTTTGCTACGCAGTCCTATTATTCTTAACATGTTCTTATAGTTATGGTCCTGTGTCTATGGTGCTGAAAGTAATGATCCTGAGTATAATACCACTACAAATTATCAATGGAGTACTATTATTTTTCGGAGCTGTTGAGGTCAGTATTATATAAGTAATTAAAATTATCATAATCACTATAGTACTACATCACTTCATATTATTAAATATATCCCCTCCCCGTGTCCGTCTATTCTCTAGTTTGTTTGTCTGAACACTCTAAACTTAAACAAATGCTAAATGGATTTCAATACGGGTCAAATAATTAAAGAATCATCATTATCATCAACTCAGCCGAGAGACATCCACAGGCCCCCTCAAAGCTCGCTACAACAACCGGTCAGGTGCAACAGTTTCCCGCGATCTTCACCAAATAGGTATTATAAAAAGAAAATTTAATACGTACCAGTTCGATTATATACACACAAACTAGTGATTGTAGTCCCATGTGCCAGGGAATCAAAAATTTTAACATATAGTCTTGTCTTTAATAAATCACCATTTGTTATGTATTAAGAGCATACAATAAAGACATAATATTTAATAAAAGACAACTCTGCATTAGGAATTTATCCAGGGTTGCGGGGGACTTTACAAACATACATGAAAGTGACACAAAGAACACCCAGACATAAAACAACAATTTGTAGATCACACAAAGTGTCGTCCCATATGGGGATTGAATCCACAACGCTTAGTAGTACGCGGCGTGGCGACCGCTTAAATCACATCGCCGTGCAGTTGTGTCGTGTGAATAACTAAATCATTACACCTATGACAGCTCATTTCAAATACGCACTTCCGAAACTCCTAGTCAAATTCACCTCCATATTTTATTTCCTGAAGAATGTATGTTGAAGCTTTGACAATAAAACCAAACGATCCCGTCATAGAATTCAAGATCAAGAAAAGACATTTAAAGGATTTCGATTTTATCATAAACCCACCTTTAGCTCCCGCCTGCGGCTTATAGCCACGCAAAGGTAAATATGTGTAAGTTTTCTTTGAACCGTTTCAATTTGCCTTCAGCTATAGAATCGTTAGCAATACAATATCAACAACCTAAGTTTTTTCCTAAATATTGTTAAGAATAAACGGAATGACTTTTTGAATGTTAAGAATGATTTGTTGAAATCTCTGGTATATTATACCTAGATAAAAACGCCGTATTAGGTGATAACTGATTAGTCTTAGGACTAACAGTTTTTGCAAAGAAAAGTTAGTTTTTACTTAGTTAGTTAGGTTTTAGATACCTATTAAAATTAAATGGAACTTGATATAATTTAAAACGGTAAAAATCTGATTATTCTTTAAAGTCATAGAAATTTGGGAGTTCGGCATACTTTTAGGATAGTGTAAGCTATGAACGCTGTCATGGGCAAAATAAGTGAAATAAATAAATAAAATCAAGAATAATAAGCTGATGTATGTTTATGAATGTATACTTTGTAATACTTATGCTGTCACCTTATAGTCACATTCCCAATATTGTATTCGACTGTATAGAATTTAATCTTATGTTTCAAGTATTTTCCTAACACGGGGATCACTATCATGATTTCTTGTCTTTTGTCTCTGCAGTTGTTCTTCTTGCCAATTAATTTATTATTTATGTTATTATTATTTGTTTCAGAGGAAGCCTATAGGATTACAGTTTGCCTTATGGTTAATACTCTTTCTGGCTGCACTCAATACTATACTTGGATTGACTGGTGCTATATATTTCATCCGCATGGGATTCCTGGCCATTCATTTTTTTTTATCTTTAATTTATGCTTTACTGGCCTTTTCTATCTTCAGTAAGTACAATTTGATTTTTGATACTCAACTTATTATCATAACTTGCAGTAACGATGTATTTTATAAGGAAATGAATGAGTGTTTAGCCTTTACTACACTCGGTCGTTGAATTGATTATAGTTTTTTTTGAGGGTACAAAAAATAACATAGAGCCGGTGTAAGCGGGAAAAATATTGTTTATAACTTGTATAAAATTGAATTAACGAGAACGAATCGCAAGTATAGGCTAGTAATTGATAATTTATAAAGATGTATTTGCATACTATAAATTAATATTTAGGTGTATAGGTCACCAATTTATTAAAGTCACGTTTAATGAACTACTGTAGTTCTACGGTATGCGTGTTTTTCAAATTAAGTCAAAAGTCGTATCCCATACATTTATTGATTTGACTTATTAACACAAGCAGTTAATGAAAATACTAGTAATACCCACGAATCAAAAATTTAACAGATACAGACTAGTGTACACCTATACTCTCCTATAAGCGAGTTAACATCAAGCTAAAAGATCGAAACCTCAAAAGGTCGCTTAAAGTTCAGCGCAAACAAACCACCGACCACAGCGACAGGTGGTTAGCGACAAATAGTTCAAATGCTCGTACATTGAGTAGATACGCGCCGCATACGTGTGGCCGGTGGCTGCCACGCGCTATAGCTGTGGTCGAGATCCGATACTTGAAGCCACTACGAGCCACACAAGACGCCGATCCTTGTCTCTGACGCGCTAGCATGACCCGCTATCACCCTCATACTTGTATTCATTTCCAGCTGTAATGTGCCACGATGTAATAGTAATCTATACGTTCAAAACGATGCTGGGGCCGCTACCACCAGAACTCGCCTGTGTTTCAGATCTACCAGATGATGACAGAAAAGTTAGTTATATGCTATGCCAAAATAAACGATAAGCTTAAATGAATTGTCTTTTTTTCTTTTATGTAATATAGCCTTCTATAGAAGCTCGTATATTAAAGGCAGGCAAATCACCTGTGACTTGACACTCAGTAGCAAGTGTCCAAGGGGGGTTGTAGTTCCACTGCGATGGCCAGACCGTGGACACGGCTCTCCACACGCTGGCAGAGTGCCCGGCGTGGGCTGAGCAGAGGCGAGACCTCGTGGCGGCCATCGGAGTGGGAGTTCTCTCGCTCGATAGCCTGATTGCGGCTATCGTGCGGAGCGAGAGTGCGTGGAACTCTGCCGTCTCTTTCTGCGAGCATCAGATGATTCATGATGAGAGATTCATGCTCGCGAAGGAGACGGCGGAGCGGGACCGGGAGAGGTTTAGGACTCTCCCGGCCCGCCAGGCCCGGGAACGGGCCAGGTACCGCAGGCGACTCAGGTGCCGGAGGTAGCAGAACGACCTCCGTCCTGAATAAGCGCAGGCCTGAGTTGACAGGTGAGGCCATCTGTCACCCTAGCAGAAGCAGGCCGGGGTGGCGGCGAGCGCGTTGCGAAGCGCGCTCGCCTCTAGGGAGCACAGGGAACATGGGGTTCCCACACGGGGGGGTCATCTACTCGTCTGTAGATGACCCGAGGTATGTCGGCACACCAGGGACTTCCTTTCTAGGGTATACCTGGTTCCCCGGCTATTAGTACCCGAGACGGCGTGCGGTTTTAGTCGGTTCGAGTCCGACATGCCACCGTCCGAGGGGATTTCCGCACGGAAAAAAAAAAGGGGGGTTGTAGTTACTCACCATGAGGTGATTATCAGATCATAAAAACTTAATTTGAAACGTATTTTATTTTTATTTATTTGTACCGTGATTATTTAACGACTATTGGGCAGTTTCTATTTTAATTTTTCTGAGTAGCTTTATTTATATAATTCTTTATTTTATAAAAACATATAAACGCAGAATGAATAGATGAGATTTATAGATTTATGAGTTAAAGATATTGGCACAATGCACTGAATGGACTTACTCGTAAGTTAGAACAGACAGTAAGGGATATTGACAAGAATATTATCAGAATTTTCGAAAAATCTAAACCTCAAACCAATCCCTCTGGCTAACGTGGTATAGAAGACCAAAACCTCCTTTCTGTGAAGAGTCCTATGTCCAGTGGATTATTGGGGGGAGCGCGTTGCGAAGCGCGCTCGCTTCCTGGGAGCAGAGGGAACATGGGGTTCCCACACGGGGGGGGGTCTACCTGTTGTTGTAGATGGCCCGAGGTATGTCGGGGCACCAGGGACTTCCTTTCTAGGGTATACCTGGTTCCCCCGGCTATTAGTACCTGAGACGGCGTGCGGTTTTAGTCGGTTCGAGTCCGACATGCCACCGATAGGTGGTATCCGAGGGGATTTCCGCACGGAAAAAAAAAACGTGGATTATTGGGGGTTGTTGATGATGATGATTGCTGAAATTTAAATTTAAATATACAAGATCTATAAACAAAAGAGTTACAAGATTTTGTTGTGTAACGTTTATGTTTTTAAATGTATGTAAACTAAAAGAACTTGTGAACGAAATAAAGCTCATGATAAGATAATCAATGTCATTTTAAAACCCTACTAAAAAAAGTAGAGGTATTATTTTCTCTTTATAATAAACCTACTATTCAATAGGATGTAAAATCTAATTAAGGAGTAGCTGACAAGTCGACAGCTCCAGTCGAGAAGAATTACGTGTAAGATGAACGAAATTCAATAAAAATTTAAAGATTGCTCGTGTCACAAGTGTACTTGGGTTTGGGCCTCGTTGACCTCACAGACTCGGCGAAAATCAACAAAACATTTGCATAACACCGGTTTAACCGGTCTGTGAGAGAGCTGTGCTTGGGCACAAATGGTCATTAATTTTCTTTTCTCTCTCTAGCATAGGCATAGTAAATATAAAAATATTATTTTAATAATCTCACAAATGCAGCCAGACACTTATAGGTTAATATCTTTTATGAATATTTTTTGAAATTATTATCTCTAGGAGTCAAAGTAAATATTTTGCCAGACATGTTGGCGTTAGGGCTTAAAATTATTGAATAGATATGAATTTTATTAAATTTAACCACCGATGCACCTTGGCGACAGCAGATGTGATTTGAATAAATTTAATATCGTACGCTGTAATGGGATGATAAGCTGTCAAGTAAATTTTAAATATTATGTTCCATTACATTCTATTACGTGTTGAAGAAATTGATTTTAATTCAATCTCATTTATAAAAAAAAGAAACATTTGCTTATAGTGAGATATTTGTACGAATTTATAATCGTTACCATTTTTTAATATCCTATTTTGTTTTTACATATTTAGTGAGGGCGGGCCTGTTGGTCTGGTGTTAAATGACCCTCGACCTACGACTACTTTGTCGTAGGTCGTGGGTTTGATTCCGTGTATATCGGTTATCGCTTTCCATTAGTAAAATAATTTTTAGTTTCTTTTTCAGTTTAGTGGTTTAGGCGTGAAAGCGTAACAAAGAAACAAACAAACTCACGTTCACATTTGTTAGATATTTAATACTTACATATATAGTCATGTATACTATTAAATTGTATTTTTTTTGTATTGTTGTACTGTAATATATATATACATTATGGGCATAAGTATCTACCTATAACATTTATTTTGTAGTAACATTATAAGAAATAATGTGTATGATTAGACCGAATGAGAAATTATAAATATAATGTAGATTTACACGGTAGACGATCTAATGCACAACTGCACGGATGGTGTAGTGGTTTAAGTGGTCGCCACGACGCTTACTACTACGCTGAGTGTTGTGGGTCCGATGCCCACATGGGACGACACTGTGTGATCCACAAATTGTTGTTCTAGGGGTTCTTTGTGTCCATTTCATGTATGTTCGTTAAGTCCCCCGCGACACAGGATATATTCCTAATGCAAATAACAAAAATATGCAGACCCTAATATATTTGTGTACTGAGCTAGTTTACTTGACACTTATGCGTAAGAAATAACCTTAAATAAAACCAAGTATGCTGATTCTATTCTCCCACTAACGTGCATGGCTTTAACAAACGATTGAACTAAAGATCTTTCGTCTTAACAAAGACGAGATGTAATTTATTAAGATTATTGTAGGCAACGGATTTTGGGCTTGCTGCTATAGATATTTTAATACGGGAGCTTTGCTTGATGGGTGTTTAACGGGCCATCTGGGCTTTGTTGTGCGCTCGAATAATCCCTTTGAACAATGAAAGCGTTTGTAAAAGTATTTTAGATTTAAGTTTTATTTGCTTTAGTTCCATTGTGATACGTTTTTGCGTCTTGTGAGTTAATATAACTATATTATTATTAACTATTAATATAACTATGTTATTATTAACTATTAATATAACTATATTAATTTACTTTCGCCAGCTCATGTTATTACTTACCTATGTTATTGCTTTTATTGGATATATTATATTTTTAGTACTGAATATTTCAAAATTAGAAATAAAGGTGTGTTTGTTGTACCTAGTTTTTAACCTATACTTTTCATTTTTCTCTCTTTCATTTTATTTATTCTTTATATATATATTCTTTATATATATTTATTTTATGCAATACACTTAAATTTTCTATTTATTTATAATATACAATAAATAACATAATTAAAAAAAGAACATGTTATGTACATAAGATTTCTTTCAGGGAACCTTGAGAGTCAAAAGAGGATAGTTGAGATCATTAACACCAGTCATGAGCAAAAAGTTTAAATAAATATATATTTTACATATAAATACATACATAGCATTGCCGTGGGCGCGCTATGATTGATTATGATAATATGATGGCCGGCTCGATTCTAGCTATAACCTGAACAAATATAAGCTGAAAACCGGTGTTAAGGAATTCTATCGTTGGTGTTTACTGGGTGAGTGAGGTTATTGGAGTTCAAACCCAACCTCCCCCCTACTATTCTTCGGATAGTTCACTGAAAGGGCAAAAATTCACTTGTGTGTCCTGAGTTGCATGTATTAATAGGGCCACCCTTCTGTTTTTACCTATTTTTGTCTGTTATTGCATTTATCTTTATTTTCGTACGAGAAAAAAGCTTGTCATTCTCTTTGTTGACTAGCAATTCATCATCATCGCCTCGCCATAAAAAAGGTTTTGGCCTACTGAACCACGCTGGTCCGACGGGTTGGTTTGGTTGGCTGGTTGGTCCTTCTCTTTGCAGTGCTGTTGTTTTTCGTAGTTTGTTCCCTTATTCGGCTCTGACGACACCCACGGCATGACTAGGGGTGGTGACATTTTGTAAGCAATACTTAAAAATATTTAAATTTTGTAAGCTATTCTATATGATGCAATACGTAATACACATATAATAAGTCTAAATAATAATGTAGGTACTTTATGTGTGTAACGACTATAGGACTAAAGTATATAGGTGGTACAATTAAGATTCCTTTGATCATAAACGTAAAAAAACTACATCATTCTTAATATCTTCTCTGAGACTAAGTATATAATTTGTACCTATATAATTATGTAACTAAAGCAATTAATGTGCATTGTGCATATGATGTCTAAATTTAAGTAGCAAATTCAAACCAAAGGGGAATTTCCCTTTCTGGTCTAAGGTCTGGACTACGTAGAATGTTTAAACAATGGGGGTTGTAGGCCTAATATATATAATTGGATTGGGCATTTAGCCAAGCGAGGATTTACATATTCAGCATTAATTGGAACTTTACCGGGATCTCATTGTTTTTAATTTAGGAGTACTTAAGTACAAACCGTTTTATTTACTATGTTACATAAAGCACAAAGGGCAAAGGGGGGAGGGGGGGGTTAATTTTGGGAAAGCTTAAATTACAGTTATAGTTTTTTGGTCCGTGTGGTGACGGATTAAGAATACAGAGTGTCACCACCCCTATTCATCCCGTGGGTGTCGTAAGAGGCGACTAAGGAAGTAAACTACGCAGGACAACAGCACTGCAGAGAGAAGGAAAACT